TACTATACGGGTCTATATAGACAATTTTGGTCATGTTCGAATTGAAGAGTTATAGTTTTGGGCACCGTGATTCCTGTTTTCTTTGCTGTCGAACGGTGCCTATTTTTTTGGTGGCGTGGGTTTAGTTCACCTAGCCTTCAATATCGCCCAGCCCATTGACTCTCCCAAAATGGGTGTCATGAAGATACGGACATCGATGTTGATTCGGTTGTGAGGTGAGATGGAAGTCTCCCTTCTGTGAGATTTCTCAGACAATTGACAATGGGTTATGGTTAATTCATTGTACTCTGGCCAAACCCTTCGGGGCTTGTCACCGGTTTCCCGTTTTCTCGCCAGGAGCTCATCGAGGCTTTGCTCCATGCTGGAGTCGTCATGGCTTCAGCTTCGAGGACCGATGGAACTGATGAAGATCGACGCACCACGTGACATGGTGGCGTTCGTCTCCAAAGACGAAGGGAGGAAGCAGGTATGACACAGCTAAAAAGAAGAAAAGGAAGTGAGGTTAACGACTCAGCTAGGTCCCTTTGGAAGATATTTTCAAGATCTCGCAAGCAACAAAAACAGGAAGACTAAGGAGTAAGGCCAGGAGCCCCTAGTAGGTTCTTGTTCCTAGTAGCTTCTTGCTACTAGTAGTAAAGTCAGGAGCCCCTAGTAGCGTCCTTGCTACTAGGGGCTCCTGTTCCTTCTCTCTCATTTTGCAAGTTTTTCTGACCCTCATTCTTCCACATCTCTAGGGAGGATGACCCCACACCCTTTGTCAGCTAATGTCTCCGTGAAAAAAGAATGTTGCAACACAAACAGCTAATTTCTCTGCCGCATGCCGATTTCTCTGGACATGTGCCACCAAGTAGTTGGACCATTTGCATCTCAGTATCCCGTGCGCAGGACTGCTGTTTGGAGAATCCAAAGAGCTCCTGCTTCGATGCCATCTTCACAAAGGACTCTGTGATGGGTTTGGAGAGGTTGCAATTTACACATTTGAGCACATTTACTAGTAACAAACATGCTGTAAACAAAGAATACACACACAGGTAATTTTGTTTCTTTTTGGTTTCCAAGCTGTACAGTCACGGGTAGACATAAGGGGTACGGTACAGTATGATTTGACCCAATACCACACTGCTTGCATCATGCCAAGAAACTCCTCACCACCAGGAGCGCTGCTGTGCGGAAGCGGACGACGACCCTGAGGCGTCTTCCGAAGATGCCGTGCTCGTGACGGAGTTTGAGGATCAAGTTCTTTGGTCAACATTTGGAGAACCGGAGAATCCTTGTGTCCCAACACTTAAACCACTGGCATTGCTTCTGATTGGGGAACTAACGGAAATCCACAGGTTTGACTCTTTCTTATGATTGGGTCTTGAGGGCCATGCAGCCGCAGACCTGGGCCAAGACATTCTTCTCTCCACACCAAAGTTGGCTGCGATTTACACCACCTCGTCCATTAGGTTGGAGGCCCATCGCTCTTAGGTTGGGGGCCATTGCTATTAGATGCTATTAGAAACAATAGATAAAAGAAAAGGAAGAAAGGTCTGATATAGTTTGCTATTAGGCCATTTAGCCCACCCGGCTTTCTTTGCGCGTCAGTGCTGGAGCTTTGCGCGGCAGAACGTGGCTCGAACCTTGCAGCTCATGGAAGCAAAGATGGTCTGGGAAGCCTGGAAGGTGATGGTATGATCTTTTGATCATAAATACCTTAGTTGAAGTATGTAAAGTTGTTTTTTGAATATATTTTCGGTTGTTTTTTGCCTTCCATGTATATTCGTTGTATATTCTTGCTTTTAACACTTTGCAACAAGTCGCTGCAGGTGGCCTAGCCATTTAGAGGGATCAATAACAAACCCTGAATCAGGCTGCGGTTTCAATAAAATCAGGTCATCCGAACACTTGCTGCTTGCCTCAACCATGTGCGGTTAGACGCATAAGTTTGATAAGCTGGCGCTGTGGCAGGGAACCGTTGACATTTAAGTCTTGGTGGATAGCCCTTGTTAGTAGCGATAGCCTCCACCCTAGTAGCGACGGCTCCAACCTACTAGCTTCTTGTTACTAGTAGCGATGGGCCCCTGTTTGCAAGGACTTGGAGGATCAGATTTCGTGGCCACCGCTCTTCAGCAGTTGCGAGACGGACGAGACGTACGAGACGGAGAAACATAGGGCGCGTCATCTCTGGTCCTGCTTAGTACAATCAGCTAGTGCGCAGTGCCTCCTGAACAGTAGCACGAGCAAGGCCACAGTCGGTTCAACATTCTGTCATACACTGATCGTCGTGCCGTCTTCTTCTCGGTCCCCAAAGCAAGGGAGCATTCTTTGAATACCCTGTGCACGGCTTCAGGCCATGGAGGTCATGGAAATGGCTGTCATCTCATGGTTCTGAGTTGCCTCTGGTAAGGATACAGGACATCTTAAACCACGGCGTTGCGGAAGTCGAGTTTCCACAGGCTACAACACCATCAGACTAGTGGCCCAAATTGGTCGGACCTGCAGACTGGAGCACCATCCAGGATTGAAGGAGAGGATGTTGTTCTGATGCAGATGGAAAGGGGCGGGTGGTAGAGTGGCAGCACAAAAGGAAATTGTTTGATCTCTCTCTCTCTCTCTCTCCCTCTCCCTCTCTCCTTCTCCCTCTCCCTCTCCTGAAACAACTGTTGTAACTTATGCCTCAGTGACAATGAGGTTCATGATTCATGCGGGTGCTGTAGCTAAGTGAAAGGGCGTCGTGCTACCGGAAATAGAAAGACACAGCGCCAAAAGGCACGCTTTCCAACAAGCCCCCAGCTATTTGGATGTAGGAAACTTATCGAATAGTCTAGTGTAGTATCTTGAATGTCTTGGAGTTCTGAGGGAGATAAAGTTGGAGACAACGCATCCCACAGCTCATCAGTGCCAAGGTAGCTTCAGCCTCCCCAGCATTTCAGATGCAGGAGCCGGTTTATTCGAGAAGTCGTCACCGTCGGGACAAGAAGAGCCAGACCAAAACATGCGCACGGAGACGCTTTGAATGAAAAGACATAATCTCATCAAAGGTAGGTCCTGAGAAGTACTTCCAGGACAGGTTTGTGAGATTTGCAGGTCGTTCCGTCAGTTTGGACATATCATCAACAGGTCGGTCATCCAAGTCTGTCTCCATGCCGTCGAGGCGGATGCTATGCGTCTCTACAGTGAGGACGATGGGTGCGCTGAAGTCGAGTTGGTGTTGACTTCTGTGTTTTTGGGTCACTGGGTGTCGACACTGGAATCGTGTTTCACCATCCACGGCTTTTTTTGGAGAACTGGGTGTGAATCAAAAGCCGGTGGCCTGGTTGTCCTCTCAGAATCTTGCAGCTGTTGAGTGTGTTCAATCATAAGGATCTCAACTGAGTGACTGAGTAAGATTCTGTTTGTTGCGTGTTCGCCAAGCGCCATGCAGCGCCCGTTAGGCTGCTCTATACCTTTTGCTGCATCGGTTTTCACAATGAATATTGCTGGGGCCATGCGGTACATCAGGCAGGTGGACTTTGGACAGTACTTGTCAGAGAAACCTGTGCACATTCGTTCGAGTTCAAAAAGCGCTGGACGTCTTCCCACCCCTCATGACCCATCCATGTTCATGTACTCACAAAGGAACCGGTCCTTCTCACCCACACGCACCACGCACGCTTTCCTGGCAGGCGTTAATTCCCGATCCCGATGCTTGGGAAGGGGCCCGGATGCCCATGATGCCCATGGCATGAGCTAATTTGGAAGAGCGAAGCCGAACCAAGCAAAGCAGCAATAGCCGAATCAACCAAGGAAAGCGAGCCGGGGACACTTGTGACTATTTGGATCTCAACAGATTCAGTTCAATGAGCATGAACCAATGGATAGATACTCGGAAGTACTTGTAGAAACATCTAGTAACAAGAATGAGCTAGAAGTTTAACTAGAGGCAACTTGTAGTTGAGGAACGAACTTTATTTTCACGTTTCTGGACCACCTCTGCGTGTTCGGTCTCACGGAAAGAGCAGGAACGGTATCACTTGGTCTCACCCTGAGGTCTCAGACATTACCCCGTGGCCCATGCCTGAGACGGTCCTGAGACTTCCTGAGACGGAGAGCTTGGACGACAATTCCACCAAGCTCATCGAGGGATGTAATGATTCATGATTGCACTCCTGTGAAAGAGCCAGGCAGCCAGGCCATTACAACCTTCATTGGGAAGTTTGGTCCTCAAACCAGACTCAAACACTTTAATGCCTCACCAGGTATCCCAGATGTTGCTTTCCCCGGCTACGTGCGATGTTGAAGGCCGGATGGAAGAATCGCTAAGGGAGCCGTATCTCAGCGACAAAACCTCGTCCCATTTCCTATATGATTTGTGGGAAGAAACCACACCCTAGAACTAGCCTTTTGGGGTGGTGAAATATGTTCACCTCGAGATGGGCTTCTTACTGTAGATTAAGGCTAAGGTATTGCCTGAAATGCTTTTGCACCGGAAAAGAAAGGGTGGATAAGCCAACTTCTTACATGTTGGAATCTGAGCAGTGTTATGGTTTGGGCTAGAAGTTCCACTCCTTAAGTTTGCACAGGAGATTCCATGGAGAGGAGTCCCGATGCCCAGGCACCAATCCCGCACTGGATGCAGCTCCAAATTGACAGGAATCATCCTCAGAAGAGCTCAAATCATGTGGATGTGGTTCCGCAGCTCTCCGACTGCGAAGTGGACATACGAAGTCAAAATGCATCTGTGTTCCATGTGTTCACCATTTTTGCTGCAAGTAGAAACATCAAGACAAAACATGCAACAGGAAGATTCATATACACAGCAAGAACTGTTTTTTCTTGGACGCTGCTGCTCCAGGGACCTTCGTGCAATGTCAGGGGACCACCCCGGCGTGCCGTGGCCGTGCTGACGGCTGGCTTGGCTGTCACGTTGATATGCTTGTCAATCCGAGGGCAATGGATCTTCATGCGTCTTTGGTACATCGTTATTTAATTTTCAGTTTACGGGCAGTTTGGAGACAGAGAGGCAGCAATAACCAGGTGGCTCTGCTGGGATCCCGAATTTCGGGTGACTCTGTTCTTCCCTTCGTCCCTTTATAAGGATAACCAGCCGTTAGGCTGGGCTGAAGTTGTTCAGGTGAACGAAGTACATTCTGGGTGTGTTGAAGGTTTTGAGTGCCGCTGCTAATGCAAGCCAGATGGCATTTCCAGCATCCTTGAAAGATCATCAATGAACATATTGAGAGGGGTATGCACATCGCTGTGTGAAAAGTTGCATTATTTTTGGTTGGTTCGAAGCGCAGGGGATGACGGGGTCTCCTCACGCCAGGCCAAAGGAAGCCTGGACCCCCAGGGATGACATTTTGCCGCAGGTCTTGTTTTCATACTTTTGTCTTAGAGCGCGACTCATCTACAGCACCTTTGTCGAGTTATATAGTCCAGTTACTGATCGATGCTTTGCAGTTTGGCAGGCTCCAGCAAAGGGAGAGCAATGTTGGCCTCGATTTTGCTCCAGGCTCTACCATTTACATCAAGGAAACACCAGTTGCATCACGGTTGGCGATTGACTTTGAACCAGTGCACCACATTTTGGGTGCCTTAGATGAACAAGTGCATGCCAAGAGTCCAAGAGAAAGTCATGAAAAGAAGGTTGATATAGACATAGACTGACTGCAAGATCTGCTATGGCGCGTCCATGGCCGTACAATCCTCAGCCATCCTTCCCGCCACTGCCGCCCTCCCCCGGTGGGAGCGGTCCAAACGGCCCTGGGAGTCCCAGCCTGCGTGATGCGCTTCGAAGCATCGCGCGTGAGGCCAGCGTGGGCTAAATGCCCAGTTTATACATACAATTTTCAACATTTCAGGGAGGAGGAGACACAGGTTTACAAGCATTTTGAGCATAGTTTACATGGGTGCCTTGACAGAACACCCTCCTTATTAAAGCAGATGTGTTTGAGAATGTCTGAGACATGCCAAATCAAGTTTGCATAGGGACTATGTTTGATCGACCGTTTCTTGCATGTCCCACAGGTCATTTCTCCGGAATTGCACCCAATGGGCATCCCACCGTTCAGGTCAACCAAGTCCCGATTTTGGCCCCATAATCCGTAGCTTCGTAACTAGCTACCTCTCCCTACCTTAGCGGCCTACCCCACCCCGCCTGGGCCCCTGGGAGGTCGAAGGTGCACGGCCGGAGACCACCCCGGAGCCACGCTTGGACGTGCGGCGGAGGAGGTTGGAGATGGCCAGGGCGGAGATGGGCGAAAGCCCGAAGTGTCAGAAATGCGAAGGGCTTGAAGCTGGTGACTTGGACAGACGAGTTAATTTCTTTTTTGGTTTGGAAAGCACCTTTTTTGGAAAGACCTATCGAAAGGTCGTTGTGTTTCTTATCTTTTCCATTTTCAGTTGAGGCTTTGTTTGGTGATGGGGTTGTTAGAGAGCTTCCTCGAGGCTTCTGTCTTTTTCCAACAAGTCCGCCAGTCAAGGTCATGCAGAAGCTTCTGCCAACTTCTTCAAAGAGATTGAGCACCTTCGCAGGGCTTTAGGGAAGTTGCTGGAAGGTGCCACCAAGTACATGCCTGCAAACGTCCTTCGTGCACTGAAGGAATCACTTCAGCTGGATGTACGGTACCTCACCAAGCCTGAAGAGGGTGAAGGTGGGCCATTACCTCCTGCACCGGTGGTGGAAGTGGTGGATCAGAGTGAGCTTATTGAGAAGCTTCGGCGGCAGATAGCTGAACTGGAGAAGGAGATCCTTGATCAGAAGTACACCATTCAGGACCGGGAGAGTTTTTATCCAGATGATTCCAGATGTCCTCCAAACTTGTTCCTTGGCACTTTCATCTCAAAAAACCATCAAACATGTCGTCAAGCAGCAAGAACAGCCTCTGGAGTTTTTTCCTCACACCTCCCATGCTTTTGACAGCTTTCCCGTCCAAGCACCCCTCACCAAGCGCCACCACAACCTACCAGGACTTAGAAGAGGAGTTGCGGAAAGCTCAGGAGGCCTTGCGAGCTGCCGGGGTCCAATCAGTGGCCACTCCCAAGGCGCGGCCCAAGCGCCAGCTGCCGGAGAGCAAGGAGATTCAGACCGAGCCCTGGGCGCCCTTCCCGGCGTGACATGGATGAATTCGAGGAGAGGTGGTGGGGGTCCATAGTTTGCTAGTAGGGTGGAGGCCATCGCCATTAGAAACAAAGGAAAACGAAAAGGAAGAAAGGTTATAGTTTGCTAGTAGCTGCTTTCCAGACACATAGACCTGGAAGGGTGAGGCCGGCGAGGCAATATAGACCCTAAAGCACGTTGAGCCAGGGGTCAACCTTTTCCTCCGTTTGTGTCGTCCCGGTTGACCCCTCATGAAAAGGAAAGACCAGGTGACTGTGAGCCAAATCCAGCTGAGGAAGCAGGAGGTGGTGAAAGTCGTGGATCCGAAATCGGCAGTGGAGACCGAGCCGGGTCCTCCGAAGGTCAAGAAGGAGCGCCCTAAAGCCCCAGTGGCGGTGGAAAGCGACAGTGATGAGCCACAGGCATCGGGATTAAGTTGTATGACGCAGTTTATTTTTTTCAACTTTGCTTGTAAATGTGATTGATGGCCATGGGATGGTTCCTTCACCCTTCATATCATCGCCCTTGTGAATTCGACCTTGCATGTTGTTTGTTGGGTCGTTGCGATGCAGGTCGACGCCGGAAAGAAGTCGGGGAAGAAGGTCGTTGCCAAGAGGGAGGAGGTGCAGGTTGTGTCCACAGGGATCGACCCTGATGTGGTCAGGCGGCTCCAGGCTGAGTTGGACCTTCTGAAGATCAAGCTAGCTTCTGCCGAACGAGAGCTGGGCAAGATGGATGGGCTGAAGAGTGAGATTGAACGTTTGAAACAGCAGGTGAGCGACAAAGACAAAAGAATTGAGGAGTTAGAGGAAGAACTCAAGAAGCTGAAGGCCAAAAAGCCGCCGAAAGCTGAAGTAAAAGAGGAAGTGAAGAAAGAGGTGAAGCCTCCACCAGAGAAGAAGGAAAAGAAGAAGGAGAAGAAGTTCAAGCAAGATGCGCCGCCCACTCCGAAGACCCCAACACAACCGACAGTGGCTGTGAAGGAGGAGGAGACACCTGTAGAGCCAGTGCCCGTGGAGGAAGAGCCCGTAGAGCCGCCCCCAGAGGTCTCCTCAGAAGGTAGCGAGACGGAGAGTGAGGAAAGTCTTCCTCCAAAAACCTTCGAGGATAAGTGCGTTGGCAACGGCCCAGGAGTTCAGTTCTTCGGAATGGGCGTTTCCAGGATCAATACAGGATATATATATATATATATATCCAAGGCCACTTGGGGCATGAAAGACTTTTCCTGTTCCCTTTTGCAACTCCCCTGGTTTCACCCACCTCCCAGGAGCTTGGGGTTTGATTGATGAACCCATCTTCATCAAGGGGCGTGGCCTACAGAAGCAAGAAGGGGAGTTGAACAAGACAGGGCGATGCTATGAGCGCTACATGGTGGAACAGCCCACTTTGGGACTGACCAACACTCCATCTTTGTCCACTATTGATGTGGATGCCACGTTGGCGCGACTGAAAGGTTCTCGTGGGGTCGGCGTCTACTCGAATGGTGCGATTCTGGGCGGAGTTCAGTGTGCAAGCACCTGGGCAGGCAGCAGATCCACAGGTGGGCGGTGCCAAACGCCAGATATTTTTGGATTGCCACTTTTTTTTGGGGGTGGGAGGATCCCTGATATTTTTTTTCTCGGAATTTGCCCTTCACGACCACTGACTGGGCCATTCACTGAGTCTTGAGCTCGAAAAGACGAGTGCCCAGTCAGGTCGCTTGGAGGCGGAGCCCTACCTGACGCAGGTTTGGGAGACTCATCCCAAAGGGCACAAGGCGCCGGTGAAGCGAGAACTTATCAAGTTGGGAGCGATCAGCCCAGTTAGTCCCAAGAGCGCTACGTTGCAGTCAGTGGAACCTCGGAACTGTTGACTTAAGGCCTTTGCTTTCTTTTTCCCATTGTTTAAGGTGATTCAGAAGACTCAGCTAGACTCAGCATGTCAAAGTATGTTCAAGTCAAACACATGATAGAATATGCAGATTCAATTGCAAGGACGCCTTCGCTGCCACACAGAAGACCTTGGTGAGCAATGCAACGGTGAAGGATTTGTCAATCGATGCCACTTTGAAGGACTTCTCCACTTTGCCAAACACAGCAACTCAGCTGCTTTCGACTCAACCTGTGGCGACTCCGACAGAGACTCCGACAGCTTCTTAGAAGCGGCCGGGGTGATGTTCACGCATCGCCTGCCAGGTTGGACTTGTAGGTCAAGGCTCGCCATAGGCGAAGACCTTGCTTGGGTGCAAAAAGAGTAGAAGCTGTCTGAGAGCCATGTGAGCACATGTTAGGATTGACACAATCGTGACACAGGAAGGGGAAACCAAAACAAAATTTCTTGGTGGCATGATTAAACTTATCCTGGTAAGGACCACACTTTTGATGCACTAAGTCACAGCGTCGTGGATTACTGTAGTTCTCATGTTCTCTAAATGGCCAGGAGCACGACTTAGTACAGTAGGTGGTTGTGAATCAACAATATATATAGTGTGATATGTTCGACTCTCAGCCAAGTCTATAGTGCTTCCACAGTTAGAACCCGAAGGAGGACTGGCCTTTTCCCTGCTTGCCACCTCTGTTTGAGGTCCTACCGCATTTCGCTGGTGTGCAGGCCTGTGGAGATTGTGTAAGATACCCACAGTAGCACATGTCAAAAGCCACCTGCAAAAGCTTCATATGGTCCTGGCAGAAGGTTTTCCTGTTTTTCGCAATTGTTCTCTCTCCAAGGGCAGTGGTCTGTAATTTTAGTATCAGTAGTGTAACGGGTAGGTCCATTGCCGCCTTGCAAGAAATGATGAACACATCTTCAGGGCTTTGAAGATTAGGTTGTCTACTAGCTCTCCAATTCTGCACAACAAACCGTGTACAAAGCCACTTGACCTGCTGCCTCACAGCGATCTTAACTTACCGCCCCTTTCCGCTACGAAGGTAATTTGGCACTTCCTGAGTTGTGAAGAATTGTGGCGATGCGATCCCACAGTTGTAGACTAATGACCTTTTTAGTGCTACTCGAGTCGCTGGCAGTGCTACTGAGTCAACTTTTCCTGCTAGTTCACTCACGTCTTTGCAGGATGGCAAGCGGCCCATGAATGAGCAGAAGCGCTTCTGCCACTACCACATCTCGGGTGGAAAGGCATCATTTGGGGATGCCGTGATGCGGGATGCTGTGGTGCCTCCATACCTCCTAGATCTTTCGTGTGACCATTGTTTGTGTGGGAGGCAAATCGGGTAGATCCAACGGGCCTTTGTGTTCACCAGGTCCCTTGGTCATGGATCTGGTTCTTTCGGGTGTGTACAATGTTCAGTTCAGTGGCAAGCTTTGCAACATTTAGACTGAGGGATCTTGGTTGGGTAGCAGAGCAGCAACAAGACCTTAGGACGCTACAAAATTGCAAAATTACAATTGGTGTTCGAGCTTCTAGTAGGACAGACCAACATCACGTCCAGAGCGTTTAACCAGCCATTGTCAGCGACCTCTGCCGCCAATTTGGATTTGGCCCAAGACCCGGTGATGCTGGTGACATTCTTTTGATAGCATGGTCCGCGGGAGGCTCAAACGGGCATGTACGGCGGCTGGCTGTGAGCTGGGTTGTTTGAGCAGGGTGGTCTGAGCATTTGGGTCAGGCCATAAACAAAGAGTCGCCAACTCCAGCACTCAGCCGTACAGAGCCGTCCTTGCAAAAATCAGTCGGCATCCCTCAGTTTCCAAACGCCCCTTGTGCTGCTTTGCTGAGGTTTTGCCCAAATTGAGGCCAGTGGCAGCGTGTGCTACGCCATTCTGCAGGCTGTGGCCTTGCATTGCGGTTTGGGCCGGGCAAAGCTCATCACTAGAGTGTTCAAGGCCTTTGCTCCGAAGCAGCAACGCCATCACATGGCAAGCGTTTTGCCAAGTCCAATTCTCTAACACTCCAACAAGAAATGAACAGTATTGAAGGAAAAGCCAACATTTCCCAATGTATGGGCACTATATAACTATCGTAGAATCTCATGCCCATGACAACGCCGGGCTATCAAGGTGGCCCTCTCTAGTTCCTGGGACCCCGTCCACCGATGGTGTCATCCCAGGCTGATGGGTCGGCGCCTCAGGGTCGGACCATAGACTTGGGGGGCGGAGCGAACAGAAAAAGCCGGTAGCAAGCAGAGAAAACCGGTAGCGACCTGCCGGGTGTTCATCATGAGATTTTCCAAGTGGCTTTTCAGACGGGTCTCAATGGTCTGAAGCGCCGTCGGCCAGTTGGTGGTTGGTACACCGCGCACATATTCTAGAACCTCGTTTCGCTCACCTTCCACGATTGGATCCAGAGAGGCCGTGCAAATATGTTGAACCAATTTCTGGTGGGACTTGGTTCCCGAGTTGGAAATCCTGCACCTGTGTTTTTGAAGAAGCTACGAGTAACAAAGGGGATCGCTACTAGGAGCAAGGACGCTACTAGAAGCTCCTGGCATCTAGGAACAAAGACGCTACTAGTAGCCATTTGAGATTAGTAGTAATGCCCTTGTTACTAGTAGCAAGAACGCTACAGTAACAACCGAACTCAAAGAATCAGAAGCTGGTCCTTCACCTATTTTTTTCCATCGATCAAGATTCCAACGAAGGATGACACTTCAGGTCCTTCCATGCAGCGGAGGGGAACCCCTTCGATGGCCTCAAGGATACGGGCCGGAAGGTGGGGATCCAGCGATGGATTCGGAGCGGTGAATCCGATGGATTCGGGAGTGCCCGATTTGGAGTCACAGGATACTGATTGGAAGGGTTCATGGAGAGACAGGAGGATGATGTTTCTATGTGGGAGACACAGGAATTTTGCTGTGAGAGGTGACCGTTGACCGCTTCCTGCCACCGGTGAAGCCTCAGGACGGGTTTCTGGACCTTAGACGTTGATGAATCTGTTACAACGATTGATGCTAGGATGGATGGGAATATCGTATGCAAAAAAGGGATTTCGGCTGCGGCTGCTTCTGAAACGAACTCAAAGCGTACGATAGGTTCAGTCTCCGTGACGATTTCCACGTTCTTTTTGAACTATATATGCAGTCTATTGGCAGTCTATGCACTTGTTCTCTTTTCGCTGTCTAGAACAGGACATCATTTGCATTGGTGGGACAGCCCAGACACGCTCGGCAGTCACTTCAAACCAAGAATCACTTTCAACTGAACATGCAATGTCAAGAATCGGCTGCCGTGTTGCTCATGGAAAGGATCGTATGAAGACCTAATCCAAAGGATCATTGGTTGTGGGTGTTCTCAGGAGTAGGGAACGCAGGACCGGTTTCTGTGGTCCTGGCATCATACTCCCTGTCGGTCTTGGCCAACAGGGCAACCGTGTGTGTAGCAGGCAGCAGGTCGGCCAACAAGTCGAAGCAACCGGGTCTTTCCTTTTGGTTCCTGCTCTAGTGGAAAGACCAAACATGTCCAGCAGCTCTCGGTCTGAGACCCATCTTGCTATTTTGATGAACCCGAGGTCTGAACTACCGGGCGCATGCAGATGAGCTGAAGCTCCCATATCCGAAGAATCCAGTGGCAACTCGGTTGCTTTCGATGAGCGTTTCATCGTTCCAGGTGAGGAGATTCTCGGAGCAACAGCTGGTTCGTTCATTTGACAGTCCTTTCTCCAGATGTGATGCCTGGGGAGTGTAACTCCACAGAACCCCTCAGATCCAACTGAGTGGGCCCACTTCCTGTTGGAGAGACTCTCCTGGTTTGGGATATCCAGATCCTAAGATGACCTGCTTCCTGATCTGGAGGTCTTCATGAAGCCAACCAGCTGCGCAGCTGGACATGGAGATGCCATTGCAGGGTGTCTCAGGATCGAGGGTGACGCCTGATGTGCAGGGTTTTAACTTCTTTCAACACCACCCAGAAAGGTCAACATCTGTGGTTCAGCCTCCAGAAAGAGTCATATTGCAAAAGCAATCTGCCTTTGACAAATCTTCTCTTCTCCTGGGTGTGCGGAGCTTGCAAGGCTCCCAAGTGTGCCACGACTTTGTACCAGGCTTTTGTGACATATCGCAGCAATGCATGGTTTTTCTGTAAGTTGCAAGTTGTACCCACCCCTTCCAGACGCGGGCTCGATTGACTGGAAGCATGCACTACTATGCACTGCTAGTGTTTGATTTGAGCGATACAATGGGATCCCTCTGGAGAGCACCCAATCGGCAGCTGCCCAGCACCAGGCGCAACCTCGTGTGTCAGAAAAGATGGACTACGAGGCAGTCGCATTACCGTACCTCCAGTCTTTTTTTGGGATTCCGCCAGCCATTGGCATGCCACTGGACCTGGTGGGATGCCTGGGAATTGAGCATCTTCACACCATGATCTGAGTAAGCTTGAGTCAAATGGCCAGAACAGGGGTTGCAAGGTACTCCAAGTCTCATGGTGCTATAAAGCCGGTTGAAGGAATCCACTCTTCGTGGAAGAAATGCAACACCACTAACCGTACCAAATTACCAAACGGGTATTTGCGCGATATGCCTATGATGTCCTGATGACACACTGGTGCCAGGTTTCTTCCTCCAAAAGCTACAGGTTTCTGAACCGCTACAGCTCTTGGGGATCGAAGGTTTGGCTCAAGCGTTGGGCTTCGGACCTAATCAATCATAGAGTTTGACGACTAGGGTCAAGCGAGGCCAGCCAATTGCTGCAGTTGTAGGCTCTCTCAACCATTTTTGTTTCGTTGTTTTATGTTTCTAGCGGGTTGCTATATAGGTTTTACCTTGTTTGAGCCCATGCTGAAGTGCGACATAGTCCAGTCGTTTAGAATGGGCAAGGCTCTTTGATGTCTTTCCATGCGGCAGATCACTTCATGGGCTGCAAGCCTGGATTTGCTTTCAAGTTGGGCCCCTTGGGCTTGGGCTACTATGCTGATGACCTTCCAAAAGCGACGGAGGCTTGGAACTTTGGATCTTCGCAGGTGTTCGTGAAGGTCGATGTAAGTTGTGGTGTGGGCCACACTGGCCTGCGCATTTGGCCCGCGGCACGAGCCATGGCCCATCTTCTGGCCGAATCTCTGCAACCAAGCGCTTCCACCGATCTCCCCAGTGACAGACCGGATGGGCCGAGAGTGAATCTCTACTCACCGACACCCGGAGGATCTCCGTGCGCCGCTCGCGGTGGTTGGGATCTCCACCGGCAGCTGGACGTGCGATCTCGTGGCCGTGCGTTGGAACTGGGCGCGGGCTGTGGCTTGGTCTCCGCGCTGCTGGCGTCGCTGGGTGCCGACGTCACGGCCACGGATGGGGCTGCGGTGGTGGTGAGGCGGCTACGTGAGACCTCCGAGTTGAATCAGAAGCCCTTTAAGGTCCGAGAACTTGGGTGGGACGGTGAAGATGGTGCAGTTGGCGAAGAAAGGCTTCCGTGTGAGACTGGGGATGGGAACCATGGCGATACCTACGATGTGATTTTGGGGGCTGATATCACCTACGATTGCAAGCCAAAGACCTTGGAATCTTTGCTGGACCTCATCTCCAAGCTCTCTGGCGAGGAGACCCTGACACTTTTGGCTCACGGCCTGCGCAACGTGGAGCATGCGATGTTCTTGTGGTCCAAGTTGACTGAACGTTGGAACGTGCAAGTACAGCCGCCACCACCATGGAATGTTGATGAGAACGAGGACTCTGTTCTGATTTTTGCATTTGAAGGTCCGGGTCGATGCAGAAAAAGGTGACCAAGTTTCTTTTGACACCCACTTTGCATGCACCATTCCGATTTCCGGAGCCAGGTAGAATTAGCGGTGGTGATTGGTCGTGAGTGCAAGGCCGGATGCCAGTCATTTGTTGTCATCACTTGTTTTGAACGAGGCCAACCAATTTCAATGCACCAACACGTGCAAGTGATTCTTATGACGAAGAACAGATGTTGGTGCTGTGAAGGGGGTCCAAGCACAAGGCAACGGTTTCCCGTTCGCACAAACTGTGCACCACTAAAACACACCGAAACCTTGTTCTCCTCTTCAGGCAGGGGGGAGGCCGCGTCCTGTTTTCACCTTCGGAGGATGTCACGCCAGAGCAGGCTATGGACTATGTGCTTGGGTGAGCTGGTCGGATGGACGGGCGAACTGAACCTACTTGATTGCTGGTAGCCGTTGAAAAGCACCGATAGAATAACATCGAATAACTATAACATCGAATAACTAT